CTAGCAATACGGGCCCATATGGCTAGCCACTGCCTATAAAATTGTTGTGCCGGCTCGCCGTGGTATTACGGTAGGATTTTACTGAGAAACAACCTAAAACTCCGAAGCTATCCAAAAATTTAATCGAAGCTTGGCTTCCAGCTTTCTACAAAATTTATCTATCAGGGCTAGGATCCAAAATTATTTAGCCAATCAAATTTAATCTTACATAGCGTCAAAAAACCTTCAATTTTCACGCCATATTTAAAAATCAGCAAGTATTGTTTTGAGCGCAAAGATATAATGATGATTTAAAATGTTTGTCTTTATGAATTCTTTTCAATAAATCAATATTTAACACTGACTTCTGATTTAGCGATTTCACCTGTTTTCTCTGTAGTAAGTTTTCGGGTTTGGTTAATTAACATAAGTGCTAACATCTGGTTCTGTGCATTTTTTTATTTTTCGCTTTTTTCCAGTCATTTTATCCTTCTCTGGTATTTAGTGTATGTATTTACTGGCCGGGATTCCGGGAATCCGGATCGGGTCATAAGATATGGAGGAAAAACCAATGAACTATATATTGTGTTGATTGTTTGTCGTAATGAAAGCCATTAAACGTGTAGTTTTTTTATTGTAATAAATGAACAGTTAAATTAATTTAACTTAGAATATAGATATATTTTTAGAGCTATTAATTCAAAAACTTAAAATGCGGAAATCAACAATGACTAACAATAATATGCCTAATTAATTGGAAAAAATCAAAGACTAATTTTCTTGAATTGGGTCAAATCCCCGGGATCCCTATATGTTTTAAAAACGATCCCAGCTTTTCTGAAAACTATATACTTGAACTGGCCAATCCGTGAGATCTATTTACATTTTAATACGATCCGCTGGCTTTTCTGAATATACTATATTCTTGAAGTCTGGTAAATTTCCCCGGGACCCCTAATTTTTAATGGGCCCCCGGCTTATCTGAAAAACTTTCTTAGAGGGGTCTTTTTCGGATCCCAAATTTTTTTAATAGGACCCCGGTTTTTCTGGCTGAATTAAATTGAAACTTGTTTTTTTACTTTAGGATTTGTGCCTCTATTCAATACTAAAAAAACATACAGTTCCCAACTTAATTTGTATAAAGAGACATTTTATAAAAATTTTTAAAATTTTTCAAAAAACATTTTTGGGTAAAGGGGGTTAAAAACGGGGGGCCCCAATATAGAAATGTGCATAGACAAGGTTTTTGGGGTCCACAAAATACGCAAAAACGGGATTTTTTGGCCCCAAGGGAAAGCAAGGGGCCAAGGGAAATTTTTTTTTTAAAAAAAAAACCCGGGGGCACAAATTTTTTTTTAAAGTCAATTCCCATATTTAAAATCTAAAATGATTGTTTAGCACTAATTAAGTAAGTAATGTTTTAAAAATTGTTTCATAAATTGTATATGTTTTAATTTCACTGAAGGGTTAATGCCTGGTCAAAATGGAAATTTCATGGCGCAAACGGAGAAAATTTTTTTCGAAAAAACAGACAAAAAACGCCCTTTTTTTAAAGTCAATATGCTGAATTTGAGCCATTTGGCTAAAAAAGGATTGTTTTAGCACTTTTAAGTAAAAAAAATTTTTATGTTTTTAAAATGTTTCAATAATTGTAATATGTTTTTTTTAAACTGAAGGATTGTATATGCCTGGGCGAAATGGAAAATTTCATGGCGCAACGGAGGGAATAAATTTTGGAAAATCGGCCACAACGTTTGGGTACTAATATATATGAATTAATTAACACCAATGTTATATGAATTTAAATAAATTTAAAAAAAAGATGTAAAAACCCGGTAATCGTATATCAAAATAATCAAATACCCTGCAATGTTTGATGGTTGTAAAAGGATTATGTGCCGGCGAAATGGACTTTTGGGTCTGCCAGCAACGGAGGATTTTTTTTTGGCGCCAACGGAATTTTAAAATGGCCTAATTAAGTAGTAATGAAGAAGTAAATCTTAAAGATATTAACTGAATAACTGATAACTGGTGTAAATAAAATCTGTTTTATTAATTTAAAAATGGGAATTAGATACGTTTTTATCGTTATGGCTGACATGGAAGAAAAGTATGGAAATTTTACAATCTGTTTTATTTTTTTCCTGTTCCAATTCGTTATTTTTAATTAACAAAAAGTATGTAATAGCAGCTTTTCTATACATAATTTTTTAATGAATTTGCATTAGTATAATACTAAATAAAGTCATATGTTAATATTACAGATCAAATGTTCAGTATTTTTTTTTTTATTATAAACATTCAATTGTATTGTTGTTATACCTTTCATAAACTCCGTTTGCGCCGATGGATTATTGCGAAAACGGAGATTTTTATTTTCAAAACTGTGTATTGATTTTTTTTTTTCATGTCTAAACATAAAATAATCATATAAGGGTTTGGTATTGTTGATATTTTATACACATTTTACATATACTGTAATAAGTTTGATTTTTATTAGGTAAATACTGAATATATCAGATTCTAAAATGGACGGCGAAATGGACATAATTTCGGGGCGCAACGGAAAAATGATGATTTGTATAACGGGTTAGATCTTATGTTTGAAACCATAACTTAAGAGCATTTTTAGAATAATAAGTAACAGTCCCTTTCAAAATGATTTACTTTCCGCTTTAATTTTAGAAAATGTTTAAAAATAGGATATTGTAAAGATATTTTAAATTACGCGGCAAAATGGACTATTTGGGGCAACGGGGATTATTCATAACTTTTAAATCAAATTATTTATTTTATTAATTTATTATTCTTTCATTAATCATTGTGACTTTTTCAAATAATTGTTTGTTGCGTATAACATTGTATATTCATCAAAACAATCCAAAATATTTCATAATTACAATACTATACAGCGAGCACTGTGTTAAATTTAAAACTAAACCAGTATAATGATGTGTATTAATGTATATCTCTGTTTACCTAAAAAAAAAGCAAGTTTGATTAGGAAGAACACGTAATTTTGTTGCAAAATATATAAATTTTCGACAAACTTATAATAGTTGCCCTTTGATGTAGAAGACATAAGATTTTTAAAATTCGTTTAAGTAGGGCCCGTGACAATAATATTCTTTTAAATATTTTCGCCTTAGTTCTCTTTTTTGGGAAAAACTAATGAAAAAGGGATTCATTCTTTAAAATTATGTTGCATGAGAAAAAGAACCCCTTTATCTCGCAGAATTTTTATCTTCCCGGGTTTCTACATTAAATTTTATGAGAAAAGGTTCTGAAAGGGCTAAAGGGTTTTTAAACCCTTTTGGGCAGTTTAAATTCCAAAACCGTTCTCTTTCGAAAGCCCGTGTTTTTTTTTTCTAAAATCTAGAATTAACCACCTTTTGAAAACCATTTTGGAAAATTTTAATATTTTGTTGAACCCTTAAAATCAAAACAAATTTCCTCATAATCACTTTTCTAAATGGTGTGAAAACCCCAGTCCAAAAAAAATCAAAACCCCGTGTCATTTGTAATTTAATTAAATCGGTACTTAATAAACCCGTGAAAAAACATTCTTCAAATCACCATATTTGCTGTTAAAAAGCTCTGCTATTAAAAGTACTTTCGTAAAAATAACGAATTGAAACAGGAAAAAAATAAACAGATTGTAAAAGTCCATACTTGTCTTCTTCCGTGTCAGCCATAACGTATAAAAACGTATCTAAAATTCCATTTTTAAATTAATAAAAACAGACTTTTTTTACACCAGTTCAGTTATTCAGTTACATATCTTTAAATGATTTACTTCTTCATATTACTACTTTAATTAGGCCAAATTTAAAAATTCCGTTTGCGCCAAAAAAAAATCTCCGTTGCGCAGAAAAATGTCCATTTGCCGGGCACATAATCCTTTTACAACATCAACATTGCAGGTATTTGATTATTTGATAATACGATTACGGTTTTTAACATCTTTTTTAAATTTATTTAAATTCATATAACAAATTTGGTGTTAATTTTAATTTCAATATATTAGTACAACGTTGTTGCCGATTTTCCAAAATTATCTCCGTTGCGCCAATGAAATTTTCCATTTCGCCAGGCATATATAAATCCTTCAGTGTAAACATATACATTTATGAAACATTTTAAAAACATACTTACTTAAAAGTGCTAAAATAATCATTGTAGATGCTCAAATTCACCATATTTGACTTTAAAAAAGGCGTTGTGTCGGTTTTTTTTCTTAAAAAAATATCTCCATTGCGCCATGAAATTTCCATTTCGCCAGGCATATAACCCTTCAGTGCAATTAAACATATACAATTTATGAAAACATTTTAAAACATTCTTACTTAATAGTGCTAAACAATCATTTTAGATGCTTAAAATATAGCACATTGACTTTAAAAAAAAACTTTTGTGCCGGTTTTTCTTTTAAAAAATATCTCGTTGGCGCAGTTGCGTCCGTTGCGCCAAAAAAACTCCGCTTGCGTATTTTAAGTGGTACCGGGTTCTTCCATTCTAATCTGTTTACATGCACCTTCATATATTACTCATTAACTCATCTTTTGGTTTAAACTGAGAGAACTTTATTATGCACTTTCAGTCAATGAGTTTTTAAGATTTTTTGAATTTAACTGGCCCCGAATTCCAGTTTTTGAATTTATTCTACTAAATAATTAACGAAAATTTTTCTTAAAAATTTACACTGGCCTGAAACTTATATACACTGGCCATCGGGCACCGGGGGGCCAGTGTTGACTTCACTTTTAATTTTGATCGTTTCGCTGAAAGTCTCTTCAGCTAACAGAACTGTCAATTTTTACAGTTAAACACACGGACCCCCTTGAAAAAAATTACGAAGCGAGTCGCTACTAGCTTTTTTAAAAGCTAACCTTGTGTATAAATAAGTAAATAACAACTTATACAAGCAAGCGCCTATATGACTTCGATAATTTTTACATTCAGACGAATCATATGGATAAACAATTAATTGGTTACCAACAAAAACCATTACAAAAACTCACACTGAATACAATGAAATGAATTCAAAATTCGAAGTTAATGAATTGTATCATCAGAGTGAAAAATCTACACAAATTAAGATAAATAAGATTAATAAAGTTACACCAAGCAAGCACCTCCGTAACAGATTTCACGTTCATATAAAATTACGCTAGCACCGATAATTACCCGCGAAAAAAATGTCAACAAAGTTAAAATCGACAATCTCTTCGTCATTTAAGATGAATGGATTGTCATTAAGAAGGTATTAAAAACAATTAAGATTTTCAAACATTTATGCTGTTTCATTGGCTTCACCGACTTCTTTTTAAGTTATTTATCAAGGTGTACTTGATCAAATCGTACCATGATCAGTTCGTACCTTTGCCAACTCGTACCAGAATTTGATTAAGACGAATATATTATATACCTATAATTCTACGCTTTGTTTACACGTGTCTTATATCCCCAGGAGGATTTTAATATATCATATTAAGTAATTAGATGGAAATGTCACCCTGACACTGACATTAGTGTATAATAATATGAAATTAGGCAAAGCCTATGAACGGGGAAGTCATTAAAAAATTCCGTTCATTATTTCCGTTTTAAAGGTGTCATTTGGTATTACATGCACCACTTTCGTTTTCACTCGGAACACTCGACAATTATTATTTATCCGAAAATTTGAGATTTGTTCCGTTAACGGAATACCCCGCCTATTATCATTGAGTTACATTGTAAATGGCGGCGCCCGACTAGAATTGACACTGAAAATTTTATTGATGGGTATAGAATTCTATAAATTTTTAATTGTTTTTTATTTGATTTTCTTTTAAATATACACGTGAAGACTATAGCCGGGCAAGCCAAAGCCCGGACCCGCTTTGCGGGCCCGGTCTTTGACTTCCCCATATAAAAAAGGCAAATCCACAAAGCGAGCTCGATTTTCTTTCACCGTGAATTAGTATAGCACAACTGTTCATTTTTATTTTACATTTTCCTTTTTAAAATTGTCATTCGGTATTTTATACACTGCTTCCGTTTATTCTGGTTCCTCGTCCTATTCTGGTTCCCATTTAAGTGCGCAGGACACTGGTCTACGCTTTCGCTTTCAATGAGAATACCTCGGCTTTTAACGTTATATTGTTATTCGAAAAGTTGCGATGTGTCAATTCGGTACTTCGTTCAAAAGCATATAAAACTTCTACTTCTACATCATACTGTTTTAAAATTGTTTACGATCACTCTAAGCAGGTATACATTGTATACATTAAAGAGACAGCTATCTTCCCACAAAACCTTTACTATCTAGAAGGTACTCATCTCGCTTTGCGAGCAGGCCCTTCGGGCCAGCTCTTGGAGCTCACTACTAGGTTATGAAGATCTCAAACAACCCTCTCTGGTTATTTCGCAAAGGCATTGATTAGCTTCTGAGTAAACTGGGAGACCTTTTGTTACTTAACAGAACAATAATATGTCATGTCTTGCAGTTTTGGACTTGATTATCTGTCCTAAGGGTAACTACCCATTGTGTAGTTACAAGGCAATGTTACTGCCCATGAGTAGGAAAGGGAGACACAGATATTCCAATCCGAATTGCAAACATGTCAGATAAATTATCTTGCATATTCACCATATTTTATCTCGATACATTTATTCACAGGGATTAATGTCATTTCATCTGTTACTATTTTCTTACAGTGCTTTATCATGAACTTACAACTTCATATGACTGTATAATGGCAAAATGACATCGTTACTGGTGCCTGCCATGCTAGATGAAATTTCAAGCATGGATTAAACAAATGGAAACGCAAGACTGAAATGGAAGAATAGCTTTAACAAACTATATAATTAAAGAATAACAAATGATAAATTCTCAGAAATCAAAGCTTTAGAATAAACACTTAATGTTTAATTTGTAATATATGTTGGCAAGTAGAACATAAGGATATATATTGAATCATAGACTTTAGACTGATTAATAATTTAACTAATAAAGTTTTTTTGTTTTGTTTCAGTGAGGCAACCCGCTATCTGGTAGAGGTGTTTTCCCAGGTAGATGAATCAGACTGTCAAGAATGGCTTGACAAAATCATAGAAATTGTTCAGAAACAACCTTGTAAGTGGTTCTCTTGGAAGAGTTTTGCTCAACATTTCATAAAAAAAGAAACTACAGGCCAAAAGTTAAAAAAATAGTTGGTCTATCCTACTCACAGTCACCTGAGCATCTTTGTCACTTTCTGTGTTAATATGTATCACATGCATTGGTCTTGGGTATTAGAGGACCCCCTTTGAATTTGGGGTCAAGTGCTCAAAAGTCAAGGTCACTGACCTTGTTTGACAAAACTGTTACTAAGTGACATTGCATGCATCTTCCAATATGATGACAGTGGGTGGTGGAGTGGGTGTGCATGTTTTATAAACAAATCTAGTCTGAAAGATCATAATTGGGGGTCACTGTACAAGGCAGATAACTCATAATAACTGTGCAAAGCTGATAACTCCTACTGATTGTGTCTGATTTATGGCCTTTTGTAAACTTTGAAAATTCCTTATTGAAGTTTGCATCTTTAGTCTTGAAACTACTAATTGTATACTTGAAACTTCGCACATTTTTTTTAAACCAGGAGTCCAAGCTCCATAACCCTTGCATTGATCTTGACCTTCTGAATTTAGTAAACTTCTGGTTAAAGTTTTAGATGCCACATTTGTCTTCAATAATACTGTCGATATTCACTTAAAATTTAATACATGTCTTCAGGATTTAAATTGAAGGTCTTTTTCCAAGACCCATAACTCTAGAATTTTGGCCCTTCGTGAACTCAGAAAATTCCTGTTTTCTGTTTACAATTATCTGGTTTAAGTGGTCTTCACATTAGGCATATTTGTTACTACATGTATATTATGAGTATTCTATTTTTAGTAACATCAGCATTGATAGATAAACAAATATGTGAGGCAGCTGTACAGGAATGTAATGCTGAACAGGATGATGAAAGGTATGGTATAGCAACATAATTATTCAACAGAATCTTTATGGCGAAGGTTGATATGCATGTTTAACCCTAACCCTGCCAAAATTTCATTGTACAGTAAACTCCACTTATAAAGATATAACTTGTAATGGTTATAACATTTAAACCGCTCAAAATGATGCTGTTGCAGAAGTTCAAACTCTTGTTTTCAAATTGGTTGCCACTTGGATACAACAATATCAGGATATAACAATATGAGTTTGGGGGTCCCATGTATATCGTTATAATTGGGATTTACTGTATAGCAACGGCCAAAAGAGATCTCACTAATAATTCCTAAAATTTATTTGTACTGTGTATCATTGTATGTGAAAAATAAAATGATGTATATGTAACCTAACATTCTTAACAAAAATAAAAAAACAAGCAGAACAAAAAAATGTGGAACAAATACTAAGTAATTGATAAATAACAAGCTTCACATTACAAAGACTGGTATACCTGTTAAAGAATCAAAACAAGTGCACTAGCTGTGAGAGTAATAACTGAATAGTGTATGCTTCCAAAATGGACCTGCCACAATTACCCCAGTGCTGAAAAAATCAGTGATTTAAGGGTGCTGTTTATCTCATTTCCATGCTGCTTTCCAACTCGATTTTAAAGATATTGCAAGGCAATAAAATACATTGCATATAAATTCACTATACACAGTGTAAACGTGCTAAATATCAATCATGTTACAGTACATTGTATAAGCAAAGACACTTTGATTATAAACTGTCCTGATTTTGGCTTATTATAAAAGTATTTAATAAATAGAATACTGTTTGATACATGTATCTATATTGTACATTACATTAGTATAGATATTGTACATTACATTAGTATAGCGTCACCTTAGTGCAAGAACTCAATATCTGCTTCTTTATCTATAAGCAGTTATTGAGTTTTTGCACTAAGGTGACGAATTAGTATAATTACTAAATTTATTGAACTCATTAAATAAAATAATTTTATTCTTGCCAGAGGCTCGCACAAAATAATTCTATTCAGATTGTTGAAAAATCTCGTATTGAACATTGTCTTCTATGTATTCTTGTTCTGTTCTTAATGGTATTGTATATATGTAAGTAGTAGTGTACATTTACCATATATAATACTAATTAATATTTTCAGTGATAAAGTATTTACTGTGATAGATGCCTTTTCTGTACCAAGATATACATATCAGAGAGATAGGAAAAAGTTTATACCGTAAGTACAGAGATTTGGGTTTTAAACAAATATTATTAAATAGGAAAGAACAGAGTCTCTAAAGAATTCCCAAATTAGCAAAATTGAAAATGTTACAAACTCAGTTTGAGCCTGTTCATGGATGGTACTGGAAAGTGCAAGCTACCATTTATCCAAAAGATGAATTTAACCTATAACCTTAATATGGTAAAATTAAGAATTTTGAAACATCCACATATGTACTTGTTTGACAGTGATAATTGAGCCTACAATGTGACACTTCCATGCCATTCCAAAAAAATGTGTATGCTTCTGAAGTAAAAGAATGCAGGTACCATAAAGAAGAAAACAGTGGGTAAAACTGAACGTAAGCTTAAAACAGTAGAATGATTGTTTTGGATGATGATGTATGATTGGTTTAATTAAGAGAATATTTTCAGATATTAAAATGAAGTATGCAACAGATATACTAAAAGTCAAATGTTTTGACTTTGAAATAGATATAGTTTCCTTAGTATTACATTATCAATTTAAGTTAAAATGCTTGCTGAGTTTTCATACAGTGGAAGTTTTGCATCAGTTGATTCCTGGCCCTCAAATGCTAGTCTATGTCAGTGGAATGCAAACTAATCTGGATCTTTACATGCTTCTTGATAGAATAATACACAAGTTTGAAAATCCACATAGGTAAACAGAAAATAAATCATATAGAGAACAAATGTTTATTTATTTCAATGTAAAAACTGGATGCTCAGAAATCCTATTTATGATACCTACATACTAAATGTTATGATCCTGGAACGTTAAAGCAGGAAATTGTGAGAGGAAATGCAGGTACTTGCTAGTTTTTGTATGCATCATATTTTACAGGAACTCCACATTAGGATTACCTCCCCCTTGTCTACATGGTAATGCCAATGATAAAGCAACTCTATTCAGGGAGAGATATACAATACTTCATCAGGTAACTCATTCTTCATGTTAGAGATTTACAAATTCTGTTTTTATGTTTGTGTACATGCTCCATATAATTCTTTTGGTGCAGCATTATGTTGCCCTTTTGTCGCTCCTTCCATCGTAAACTTGTTTCAGTGACATTGGGAAGCAGCCATTGGTGAAGCTAATACTCTTGTTTTAAACATGATGATATGATGAGATTTGAATTTCTAAATGAAAATTTATTTTGTTAATTATATTAAGTATGAGGTTTTAAATTAGGAAAATATTTTATTGGTACACTTGGTAAAAATATTGTGTAGGATGCTGAAGATTGGAACTCTCGTCAGAAAAATTATCAATCTATATCTGTGCTGATATATATTTATATATAGACTAACAGCACCTTTGTAATTTATACCAAGTATATATGATATATTTTAGAGAACATTAAGACATGATCTGTTTACACCACCAGCTTTAGGCAGTGCACCTGAGGAAAGTAAAAAGTTTCAGGTAAAATATTGTTTTGGGATTACATGCAAAAATATATATATTATATGCCCCATTACTATTCTTATATATATAGATTTACCTTTGTCCGCCTGTCTGTCACATTGTCTCTCCATAGACTGACAAAACTATTGAACGTTGGGGTGTCTATGTCACATTTGTAGTCAGTTACCAAGCATTTATTCTTACTTTAATCAGTGTATTCAAACCACAAAATGCCCCAACATAGCCCTAGTTCCCTTAAATGCCTCATTAAGTCTTATGTAAGTGCTCCTTGTGGTCTTACTCCATTCCTTAAGTTGAAAATCCCTATGATACAATATACTGTAAAGAAAAAATACTTCAAAACAAAGAACAATATATATTTTTAACCAGGTTTTCCGAAGGAAAAAACTGGTTATTAGAATGAGGTATGTCGGCCGGCAGGCGGGCGTAAACAATTTCTTCTGTGCGCAACTCCTCCTACATTTCTCAACGGATTTTGACCAAACTTTCACAGAAGCTTTGTCATCAAGTGCCCTGGCGCCTATTGTCGGGGTTTTTTGATTGGATAATATTTGACCTAATTATGGCCCTTTGTTTTTTTCCTTATATAGAATATATAGTGAACAATTTCTTCTGTGCTCAACTCCTCATATATTTCTGAACTGATTTTGACCAACTTTCACAGAAGATTTGTCATGAAGTGTCCTGGCGCATATTGTTGGGGTTTTGTGATTAGATAATTTTTTACCTAATTATGGCGCTTTGTTTTTTTTCTTATACAGAATATAAAGTGAACAATTCCTTCTGTGCACAACTCCTCCTACATTTCTCAACGGATTTTGACCAAACTGTCACAGAAGCTTTGTCATCAAGTGCCCTGGCGCATATTGTCGTTTTTTTTTAATTGCATAATATTTGACATAATAATGGCCCTTTGTTTTTTTCCTTATATAGAATATATAGTGAACAATTTCTTCTGTGAGCAACTCCTCCTACATTTCTCAACGGATTTTGACCAAACTTTCACAGAAGCTTTGTCATCAAGTGCCCTGGCGCATATTGTCGGGGTTTTGTAATTGGATAATTTTTTACCTAATTATGGCCCTTTGTTTTTTTCCTTATACAGAATATATAGTGAACAATTCCTTCTGTGCGCAACTCCTCCTACATTTCTCTATGGATTTTGACCAAACTTTCACAGAAGCTTTGTCATCAAGTGCCCTGGTGCATATTGTCAGGGTTATGTGATTGTATAATATTTGACCTAATTATGGCCCTTCGTTTTTTTCCTTATACAGATTATATAGTGAACAATTTCTTCTGTGGACAATTCCTCCTACATTTTTCATGATTTACATTGCACATAGTTACATTGTTGCTTGTATTTGTATTTCAACTACAACATATTTATCTACAATGGTGATAATTGAAAACTTGGTTTCGTGACATTGCCATGTTTCTTGTTTGAAGTTAATGAAACATGCCATCATGATCATATTAAGAAGTCTCATCTTTTGTTTGTAGTTAAAGCCCATAGAGTATTTGCTTGGAACAACAGCGAAAGTGGGAGAGGTTATTGTATTAGGTATGCTGACACAACTGAAGGAGGTATTTCAAAATCTTTTCCTAGTTCACATAATTTTAGATTTAGCTCATAAAATGTAAAAAGAGCTATTTTTGACTCACTTAACAGGCTGTGCCAAGTTTAGTCCACATTTGAAGGATACTATTGGATTTACAGTTTACATCAAATGTCAAAAGAGCTATTATGACTAACTTAGCAGGTTGTGTTAAGTTTCAGTCCACATTTGAAGGAAACTATACAATTTACAGTTTATTAATTATGTTTGAATTTAGAAGGAATTTATTATTCAAAGGCAATTCCAGCTGAGACCTTTGACATACTGTTTTTAAATGAATATATCATACATGCCATAACTTCCCGGATGTCTGGGAAGCAAATTGTTAGTAAAAATGTAATAAGTTAGTTTTAATTTATGTTTTTTTTCCCACTAACTATCCATTTTCAGCTATAAATTCTTGCATTGAGTATCTTTCATACTTTTGTTAGTAGTTTTGTTCACTTATTGTTTTACATACAATAATGTAATCAGTGTAATGTCACATTCAGTATTTATTATTCTACAGGGAAAATGGTATTTGGAAGATCCTACAGGTGTTGTACAGATTGACCTTTCAAAAGCTGTATCCTTTATACTTGAAAGTTGTTCCTAGTACAGTGTACTTACAATCATTGCATTGCAAACATTTTACTATCCAGAATCAGTAAAATTATAATTCATAACCTAACTCCAGTGCTCTGTTTCATCATTTAATTAAGAGGTTAAATTCACTGTGTGTAACACTGTTTCTCTGGTGTTGGTGTTGGTAGTTTTCACTCCGAATCATGGTAGCAAGCCACATTGAATTTACCAGAGCACAGGTCAGCCACTGCATCGTTCCTGGACATGCTGTCAAGCAGTTAACCAGTACTAATTGCCTCCACTTTCACAATGAACTGGAACTTCTGTACATGCCAGAGCAGAGGTACAGTGCGAATGACCCTAGAATAGATTTCATGATTAGTTGCAACGAAAGTGACCGCACGGTTCAGGAATCAAACCCAGATTGCCCAATTCACTGTCCAACACTGTTTCTCTCTCATGCTTTATTCCTTTTATTATAAAGGGCCTGAATTTATATACATAACTGAATGTTTATCTTTCTGCTTTCCACCAACAAGGGAGATCATTTCATACACATTATTTTCTTGGATGAAGGTCAAAGTTATTTCCCATTAAGAATTTGGCATTTTTAGCTCGACTTTTCTATGAAAAGGGGAGCTATCCTACTCGCCCCGGCGTCGGCGTCGGCGTTGGCGTCACACCTTGGTTAAGTTTTTCGTACCACCCCACTTTATTTCAGAAGTATTACAAGTATGGCTTTGAAACTTACCATACTTGTTCACCATCATAAACTCCATCTACAGACAAGAGTACATAACTCTGTCAAGGTTTTTGACAGAATTATGGCCCTTTTTTGACTTAGAAAGTGTATTGAGCTTGGTTAAGTTTTTTGTACCACCTCACTTTATTTCAAAACCATTGGAGGTATTGCTTTGAAACTGACCATACTTGTTTACCATCACGACCTTCATCAACAGACAAGAGGACATAACTCTGTCAAGGTTTTTGACAGAATTATGCCCCTTTTTGACTTAGAAAATACATTGAATATGGGTAAAATCCACTTATTGCCTTAACCCTTTGAGATATTGCTTTGAAACTTTTAATGCTATTTCACATCATTACCCCCATCTGTACGCAAGAGAAGGTAACTGACAACATCTAAAAAAGCTTGATAAAATTTATCTATTACTTGTATTATAAGGTAACTATAATACTTTCACATACAAAGTCAAATCTATATATTATGCTGATTGTACAAAAATATACTGCTTCCTTGGCATAGATTTCTTGAAAAATTATGTTATTATGTCATTTACCAAGGTGTTCTGAGTGACGTAAAAATACCTTATTCTCTCAAAGTGGGTTTAATACTATTAAATTTATTTAAGGCTCAACTCAGTTTTTTTTTCTTTCTTACCAGCCCTCTTTTGACTTAAACATTTCAAACTTTGCTGCAGTGTTCAAGGGTATCACACAATTCAGTAAAATAATTCTTCACTAAATATCTTAATGCTCATGGCCATTGTTCACTTTAAAAATACAGAGATTCTTGTATTGCCTTTTACTGCAAAAACTTTTTTTATTGGCAAGCAATAAAAAAGTCGAGCGCGCTGTCTTACGGACAGCTCTTGTTTTGGTACTAACCAGAAACAAGGAAAACTGGCTAGGTAATCTGCTTAGCAGGGACATTGTTAAAAAAACGCATGTCTTCATTTTAAAACGGTACCCAGGGCAACCTTAAAATTGCAACCCATGCCACTTTAAGAAGTGTAGGTAGGTTGATAAAAAATTTTTTTATCCAAAATATTTTATTTCCTATCAAAATGATAATGGAGTTCAAAACAAATTGTTAATGCTTAGCATCTGTTTAAATACAGTGTAACTTCCGAAAACCGAACACCCATGGGACTTGTCAAAAAGTTCGGATTTCAGAGGTTTCCGGAATTAAGAGGTTTATGATAATGTGGACAAGACTACGCCACTTAATATCACTAAATGTTAAATGTCAAGGAAGATGTGGCCATTACTGTAATATCATATACAAAAATGTATAATAGTCTTTTAATCAAGATAAAGATGTAAATGAAAATAATACATGTTTATCTTACCTGCAAAATCAGTTTGTAGAAATGTTGTTAATTGCATAAACTTACATATTGTCCGATGCTAGTTAATTAATTATTACATCAAATGCGATAAAATCCCTAAAGACGTTTGATGCATACATTGTCCAATTAATTGTCATTTAATCCGCTAATAAACACTTCAAATTAACTGACCGCCGTAAATTACTTTGATTAACTGCATCACTTCAAACATACCATTTCACAGTTTGTGATTTTAACGCGTGTCAAATTACACGATCACCGCTAATTAGTAAACAATCGATAGGGAGTTAAAATCTTCCTGCAGGGTAAACATTCTCAATTTACAATGTATTTCACACCTTTGGATATTTCCGGTTTTTGGAGGTAAAATTGCATTGATTTGACTCTAATTTTACGAAAATATCGTCCGGAATTCAGAATTTAGAAGTTCCGGAATTCAGAAGTATTATATTAATAGAAAATAGAAGGGAAAAAATCGGGACCGAAAAAATTGTTCGGTTTTTAGAAGTTTCCGGATTTCAGAAGTTCCGGAATTCGGAAGTTACACTGTATTAGAATTATCTAACATATAACCCAGTTTGTATATTTACAATTAAAAAACATGAGTCAGATATAAAAATGTGATTTTCATTGACACTCTCTACTTCTATGTTTAGTTAAAAAGATTTTTTTTTGCTAGGCAATAAAATGTTTTGGGTAGCTGTGATTTTTGTGGGTAGGTAGCAGGAGGGGAAAAATGAAAATTTTGTTTTAAGCCCAGTTACACAAATTATCAATGACTGACTGGTTTCATGTCTTACAGTACCCATGATTTATAAGTAATAACAAAAAAGTAATTCATTTGAGCAAATATATTGAAATATGTAACCTATAGTTACCTTAACTTTATTGTCAGAATTTTCACACAGGGCTTTTCACAGAGAATTGTTTTGTTTTAGCGGAGGGTTGGTATGAAGATGAATTGTTCCATGTAAATGCTTTTGGGTTCCCACCCCCAGAGCCAGCAAAAACTACCAGGTACTTACTTGATGCTTTAACTGTCTAAGCAAGCAATATTGTAAACTATAGTATAAAGTAAGAAGTAATACCCTCAAATAGTCATCTCAATTTCATGGATATTTCATCTTGGTCTTACAATGGATATCCGTATTTGATTCCCCTCAATAAAATTTCTTTTCCCATTTCAGTGCATAGTGAATGTGAGCATTTGAGTATCATTGGTTTAGTTTGATTCAATGATGAACAGAAATATTGTTTATTAAAAAAATCAGTGGCTTTTCAACAAGATTTTATATTTTCTGACAGGTCATTCTTTGGCAACTTGAACTTTTTTGGAGGACCATCAAACACATGTGTGAAGGCATCAAGTAAATTACAACAGATAGAACAAGAAAATACAGATGCAATGTTTATAATACTGTCTGATGTCTGGCTGGACCAGGTCAAAGTAAGTTTATTGAAAGAGTAGTGATTTTGTATATCTTGTGTAAGATTTTTAAAAAATGAAGAGAATGAGGTACTATTTAAAAATATAAAGGGTCTCTCAGGGTAATAGTGCATGTTACCAACCCGAGAACTGAGATAACACCCCGAGATGGAGCACTATTACCCACAGAGACATGTGTTATTTCTTTTATTATACCGAATTAACATTTTAATATAATTTTTCACTGCTGTGCATTTTTTTGCGGCCTAGGGGAGAGAACTAGAACATGATATTGTCTTCATTCTATTTAGATTACTGGCCCCTGGGGAATATTGCAAAAAATTATTCACTGGGTGAATATTCATTTCCAGGAAGATATATCGAAAAAACACCATTTGACCACACATTAGGCTAATATAGTTAAAAGTTTAAGTGAGGTATAATAAATCTATTTATATATGTGTCATACTTAGTGCTCAGATTAAAAATATGATGCTTATTTACTTCTTGAATGACTTTGCTTCCTATAATAACATCTGTATGCAGTAACACATCACTTTCTTATGTTATCTTAACAACTCATTGAATGTGTTAAATTGATAAAGTTATTCCTCCATTATTTGTCAAGTTAATTAAAAGTTATTCCTACATTATTTTAAATATAAGAATAATTACCTTGTATAAATATTTTTTTCTTCAGGTTATAGAGAAGTTGAGAGTATTATTTTCTGGTTACTCAGGATTTCCTCCTACCTGTTTTATATTCTGTGGAAACTTCCTTTCTGTACCTCTTGGAAATAGTCATGCTAAAGTTCTTAAAGGTGAGTTTCAACTTCCACAAATTATTATAAATTGTTTTCCAGTAGAGCCATGGACCTTTTTCATCCATCCATTTCGCTCAATATGGAGAGCTTTGGATTTGAAATCCAGGGATGGCAGGTTTGATCCTCTGGCTTTAAGTAATTCCTCCATGATTTCGGGCAGCGAATCTACTGGTCTTTAGTCTCTTATTGCTGACTCAGAAATCATTTTAGATAAGTAGAAGTTGGTTACTTGTTGTTAGTTATAAAGGAAATCCGGTGTGGTGGACAGACCACCAAGATAAGACTGAAAAACTGTGTTAAAATTAAAGTTAAAAACAAAAACAAAAATGGGCCTTTTGCAAACTAGCTGGAAAGCTTCTGCCTATGAAATTTTTACATAAAATGCATGTAGTTCAAGTCATTATAGTGTTTTATTGATGCAATATTTTAAGCAAATTTCTTTCCTTCACTTTATACAAAGTTAAAAGCTTATAGTTTAAACACAAGTTTAAGTTGAAGACAAAGTAGGTAAAGGGGAGAGTACTGGAGATGTTTTTCCACAAGTAAAGCTGGAGGTCACCATGACCATGACAATGTCAATATGACATTGCTCCCTCTTCCCTCAAATGAAGTTTTTACTTCACAACAGGTTTTATCTAGGACAATCAACAGCTGTGTTTGTAAATATTGCTTTTGTTTTTCATTAAATGACAAAAAAAATTAAACTGATGTAAATTGTAATTTAGAAATAAATCCTTTTACAGATTGTTTTCAACAGTTAGCTGAACTGATGTGTGAATTTCCAGACCTTATAAAAAGTAGTAAATTTTTATTTATACCTGGACCACAAGATCCTGGACCAGCTACCATATTACCAAGGTAAGCTATCTCAGTTTGCCCTTGCCATTATATTTTCATCAGTATTTTTGAATAGACCCGTCCAGTGTCCATTTTAATAAAACTTGATGCAAAAATTGTAGAAGTTAATAAGCTCTGAGTAAAAGGCAGGGGATGACCTGAAGAAAACCTACTGCTTAGTATGACTTGGGAAATGGCATCAAAATAACTTTGGATTAACAACAACTAAGATATTAAAGTTTGTAGATTTTAAAAGGGGAGATCACTCAATAGCAATGTCAATGAAAATAAATGAAAATCTCAGACTAACTTTGATCTTTGCTATTCATGAGTGGTAGTGAAATGTTTGACACATATCTCATGCATCCTAGCCAAGACTTAATCAATTTTCAGCTGTCAGCAATCTCAAAATGACCAAAGAGTATGTGATAACATTTAGTTTATATGCTTTATTTAGTGTCTACATCTGTTTATTATAAGTTAAATCCTGTATTTTAGGCCAGCAATTCCCAACTCAATAACAGAGGAACTAAGGAAGAAAGTGCCGTCAGCAATATTTGCCAGTAATCCATGTCGGATACAGTATTGTACTCAGGAAATTGTTGTGTTTAGGGAAGACATTGTGACAAAGATGTGCCGTAACTGTGTCAAATTCCCAGAAGATGGTGATGTTCCAACACATGTAAGTAAAAAATAACTGAAATCTTGTGTTGAGAAGTTCTGAATTTTGGAGAGAGAAAAAAATTATTGATAACTATTTATAATGACTACCAACTGAAAGAAACAAGCTTTTAAAAAACATGTTCATGTCACATGCTGATGTTGTTAATATTTGGATTATTTTTTTATGCTGTGACATCTGCCTGATTAGAATTAAATCAATTATTATTTTTGTTATCTTGTCATGCTGTGACAGTTGCCATATTACATTTTTCTTGATAGTTATTTTTGTAATCTCATCAATAATCTGTTATTGGTATTTACCATGTATGAGTTTCATGGCAATAAAAAAAATTAAAACAGCTGTCTTTTGATATAAATTGTAATGTTATCCCAACACTACCCTTAATACAGTCAAGACTGCCTAAGCGACCCCCTGATTTTAACGACTCCCTGTCTTATCCGACCTTGTTTCAGTACTCCCAACGTGTTTTCCTATATAAACGGTCTGAATTAAACGACTCCCTGTCATATGTGACAAGCGACCCTAATTGTCTGGTCCCAATACAATGTTTGGTCTGATTTAAACGACTTTCACACCTTTTATTTGTCCGTTAATCAGATAAATAATACCTATTATAACACCCCAGAGGGCCAAAATAATTAAGTCCAATTATAATCCAGTAGCAAACAAAGTCTACACACCTCTATCTCAATTACACAGTTAACATGTATACAGTACAGGTATCGAGTGACGGAGCGAAGCATTATGCAATCGATGTGTGTGTAATGTACATTATGCCCTGAGTAAACTGGGCTAAGACTTGTGTTAGATTTTTATGCCCCCGCCATGTAATGGCCGGGGCATATAGTGTTACCCTGTTCCGTCCTTCCGTCATTCCGTCCTTCCGTCCTTCCGTCATTCCGTCCTTCCGTCATTCTGTCATTCCGTCATCATCAGTTTCCGTTCATTATCTTAGTAACGGTTGCACATATTCAACTCAAATTTGGCATATGGATATGTCATGAGAAAATACAGGTCAAGTTCGAATTTGGTCATGGTTCGATGATTTTTGGCAGAGTTATGCCCCTTTTACTTTGAAAATGATATGAAATTTTCAGTTTCCGTTCATTATCTCCCCAACGGTACAACACATTCAAATCAAATTTGACATATGGATATGTCATGAGAAAATACAGGTCAAGTTTGATTTTGGTCATGGTTCGATGAATTTTGGCAGAGTTATGCCCCTTTTACTTTGAAAATAATATGAAATTTTCAGTTTCCGTTCATTATCTCCCCAACGGTACAACACATTCAAATCAAATTTGACATATGGATATGTCATGAGAAAATACAGGTCAAGTTCGAATTTGGTCATGGTTCGATGATTTTTGGCAGAGTTATGCCCCTTTTACTTTGAAAATAATATGAAATTTTCAGTTTCCGTTCATTATCTCCCCAACGGTACAACACATTCAAATCAAATTTGACATATGGATATGTCATGAGAAAATACAGGTCAAGTTCGAATTTGGTCATGGTTCGATGATTTTTGGCAGAGTTATGCCCCTTTACTTTGAAAATAATATGAAATTTTCAGTTTCCGTTCATTATCTCCCCAACGGTACAACACATTCAACTCAAATTTGACATATGGATATGTCATGAGAAAATACAGGTCAAGTTCGAATATGGTCATGGTTCGATGATTTTTGGCAGAGTTATGCCCCTTTTACTTTGAAAATAATATGAAATTTTCAGTTTCCGTTCATTATCTCCCCAACGGTACAACACATTCAACTCAAATTTGACATATGGATATGTCATGAGAAAATACAGGTCAAGTTTGAATTTGGTCATGGTTCGATGATTTTTGGCAGAGTTATGCTCCTTTTACTTTGAAAATAATATGAAATTTTCAGTTTCTGTTTATTATCTCCCCAACGGTACAACACATTCAACTCAAATTTGACATATGGATATGTCATGAGAAAATACAGGTCAAGTTTGAATTTGGTCATGGTTCGATGATTTTTGGCAGAGTTATGCTCCTTTTACTTTGAAAATAATATGAAATTTTCAGTTTCTGTTTATTATCTCCCCAACAGTACAACACATTCAACTCAAATTTCACATATGGATATGTTTTTGGAATGCCCAGGCCAAGTTCGAATTTGGTCATGGTTCAATGATTTTTGGCAGAGTATTGCCCCTTTCACTTTGAAAATAATATGAAATTTACAGTTTCTGTTCATTATCTACCCAACAGTGTTACATATTCAACTCAAATTTGATATATGGATATGTCAAAGGAATGGGCAGGTCAAGTTGGAATTTGGTCATGGTTCGATGATTTTTGGCAGAGTTATGTCCCTTTCACTTTGAAAATAATATAGATACATCTTAGGAATAAGCAGTTTAAGTTTGAATTTGGTCATGGTTCAATGATTTTGGACAAACTTATCTTTCTTGAATGTTGGAAAAATTTTGAACTTTCAGTTTCAGCACTCATACTTTTGTGGAAATGTATGTAGCCATTATTTTGGCTACAAATATGAAATATGCTATTTTCAAAAGGTTAAGACTGAATAATTTCAGTGCCTTGAACATTGTATGAAAATGGTTTGTGTAAACGTTGAAAAGTTTTAAGGGCTTTGAACTTAAAATGAAAACAATAATTTGTGCAAACAAATTTGGAACTAAATATTATAACATCTGAAATTTTGGCTGCATGCGGGGGCATCCGTGGCATGATGACACATTTCTAGTTTAATTATAGAGTGCCAGCGGAAGATTTTTTAGGCAGAATTTTTTTAATTTACCTTTCTATGGCTGCATAATTAATACGGAAAAAATATTGATACCAAACCAGAAAAAAGCTTTGAATATGGATATGTTTAAAGATCCTGTAACACATTTTTTTCATGGATTTATTTTATAAATATGATGCTAAAATTAAGATTTGTCAATATCGTAAGTTCAAATAAGCATTATTTATAAAGATATCACCCAATTTAACATTTCATGTAAATAAAGGCCATTAAAGGGAGGTAATTAGAACTTTATTTTCTATAAATTCTAAGTTAAATTTTCCAATAAGAAATCAATGCATGTAATTTATTGATTAATTATAATGTGCACAAATATTTGCAGTACACATTTAACATATTCTTTGATGTTTGAAAATTGTTTTATTTGCATAATTATATCCATATATATTTTTTTGCAAGTGTGAACAGTAACAATATCAATCACAAAACATAATGATACAGGATCATTAAGTCACAATGGTATATAGACAGATAGATGATATTTAAATTTAATTTTCTTTGAGACTGTATTTAGAGACTCCCTGTCATATGTGACCTTTTTCTGAAGGTCCCTTGGAAAGTCACATATGACAGTCTCGACTGTATATCTTCAGTAACCCAATAATTTTGTTATAAATCTTTTCTGAGAGGGTAAACAATTTAAGCTAAGCAAATTTTCAAATTCTCAGACATAAGAAAAAATATGTTAATAGTTTTAGAGATGTAAAAATATTCAAAATTCAGTTGACATTTTGCATGGTTGATGCAATAAATGTTTTGATCACCATATTTTTACCTGTTGCTGACAGATTAGGGACTTAATTCGCATATTTACTATTTAGACTTGTTAGATGTAATTCCTATGGATTATAGAATGTGCTTTTTGGGCTAAGTTTTATCACTTTATTTGTATACTCAATATTTGCTACAGCAGAAAAAAATCTTTTTTTAATTTTTTTTTAGAAATTAGCTGCTCCAATATAGACTAACCACATGTCTTTTATTTTTCAGTTTACAAAAACATTAGTGTGTCAAGGACACCTGACGCCCCTCCCCCTACATGTTGCCCCAGTGTACTGGGCATTTGATTGCGGTTTACGGTTATATCCTCTACCTGACCTTGTGATATGTGCAGATAAACACGATCCTTTCCACAGCACATCAGTAGATTGTACAGTTTTAAATCCGGTAGGTGATTTTATTCATCAAATGCCTTTGTGTAGAATTTTCCAGAAAGAAGTTAGAAAATATGGTTTAATGATAAAATTGTTTTGGATATATTTTGCCACATATTATAGTCATATTTACACATGCTGTGCAGAAGTTTGCTTTTAATTGGCTATTTGTCAAAGGTTTGAAGCATACCAAATTCGAAATCAATTGTGAGACTATGCTTAATTTTTGCTCTCATATTGAGCTTAAATATAATGTTATCAGAAGATTGACTGTTATAATGGTGGTTGATTAATGATTTATGATAAAAAAGTTTGATACAATATAAAAATGACCTATATTATAAAAAGACTGCTTCACTCGTATATACAAAAAAAATTGAATATACAACTTACACAGACCCATCATCACCTAGATTACTTCGAAAGGTGTGTTCTCACCAAATCAAATGCAATATTATTCATGCACGAATTTGAACAAAAATTCCTAAAAACGTACACAATTACACCATCGGTCTGGTGGCGCTACATAGACGAAATCTTTTTGATATGGCCACACTCTCGACAGGAGTTGAGCTCCTTCATCATGGCCTTAAACAGTCAACACAACACAATAAAATTTACCTCTTACATCAGCGATAAAGAGATACACTTCCTGGACGTAACTGACAGAAAAAATACCTACGGGAACTTATCTACTACACTAAACCTACTAATGCTCACATGTACCTCACTATAACTATAAACATTTATTATTATTATTTTCTAATTCATTCATAATAATTTAAATAACTATATACGGACAATGAACCGCCTAACAATAACTTCTATAAATAGATTTGATCACGTGACAAAAAGAACCGTCAAAACTGTACCTTAGTTTGAAAAATTCTGATATATCTGTACCCTGATGAAGGCTATTGAATAGCCGAAAAACGTAGGTCTAAAATAAAATTATAGAAAACCTGACCCACTTTGTTTCGTGTGTTTCACTTTCCTTATCCTTTTTATTAGTTTACTGTTGTGAAAACAAGCATCCCGTTTGGGATCCGATCTCTGTGGGAATCGATTAAACGGTTCTACGTAATCGGTGTGAGAGGTTGGTCCAGCTTACAACTTACCTCTAAGTATCCAGTCTTGGATTCCACCGGCCAAAGCACCATAAATCGCCCTTTGAAGGGACCCGTGCTTCGAAACCTACACATTACGTTATGTCGGATGAAAATCTCTACGAAAAAGCTACTACTACACCGCCTATATCCATAGCAACATTTCCGGGACAGTCTAACAACTCCACCAAAAAACGGAAAGCGGACGACAACGACTCAACTCCTGGCCGTATAGAACAAGAAAACCTCTCGAAATTCAAAGTTCTAAAAAAATTGAATATACAACTTACACAGACCCATCATCACCTAGATTACTTCGAAAGGTGTGTTCTCACCAAATCAAATGCAATATTATTCATGCACGAATTTGAACAAAAATTCCTAAAAACGTACACAATTACACCATCGGTCTGGTGGCGCTACATAGACGAAATCTTTTTATACCCCCGCACAACAAAGTTGTAAGGGGGGTATACTGGAATCAGCTTGTCCGTCCGTCCGGCTGTCCGTCCGGCCGTCCGTCCGGCCGTCCGTCCGTCGGTTTTTTCTTGTCCGCCCAATAACTTAAGATTCCTTTGACCCTTAGTCTTCATTTTTGGCATGGAGGGGTTAGTCATGATTAGTAGATGACCCCTATTGATTTTGAGGTCACTAGGTCAAAGGTCAAGGTCACAGGGCCTTGACTTCAAAAAAGCTTGTCCCCAATAACTTAAGATTCCTTTGACCCTTAGTCTTCAAATTTGGCATGGAGGTTAGTCATGATTAGTAGATGACCCCTATTGATTTTGAGGTCACTAGGTCAAAGGTCAAGGTCACAGAGGCCTTGACTTCAAAAAGCTTGTCCGCCCAATAACTCAAGATTGCCTTTGACCTACAGTCGTCATATTAGGCATGAGGTTAGTCATGATTAGTAGATGACCCCTATTGATTTTGAGTCACTAGGTCAAAGGTCAAGGTCACAGGGGCCTTGACTTCAAAAGCTTGTCCGCCAATAACTTAAGATTCCTTTGACCTACAGTCGTCATATTTGGCATAGAGGTTAGTCATGATGAGTAGATGACTCATTTGAAGTCACTGGGTCAAAGGTCAAGGTCACAGGGGCCTTGATGCTATAAAGCTTGTCTGCCCAATTACTTAAGATACCTTTCACCTACAGTCTTCATATTTGGCATAAAGGTTAGTCATGATTAGTAGATGACCCCTATTGATTTTGAGGTCACTAGGTCAAAGGTCAAGGTCACAGGGGCCTTGACTTCAAAAAAGCTTGTCTGCCAATAACTTAAGATTCCTTTGACCTACAGTCGTCATATTTTGGCATGGATGTTGATCATGATTAGTAGATGACCCCTTTTGATTTTGAGGTCACTGGATCAAAGGTCAAGGTCATAGGGACTTTGACTTCAAAAAAGTTTGTCCACCCATTAACTTAAGATTCCTTTGACCCACAGTCTTCATATTTGGCATGGATGTTGATCATGACTATAAGAAGACCCCTATTGATTTTGAGGTCACTGGGTGAAAGGTCAAGGTCACAGGGACCTTGACAAAAAAAAAAGCTTTTTTCTTCTCAATTGCTAAAGAATGTCCTGTCAGCAATGTATTGATTTTGACATTTTCACATTTGAAGCATGTAGAAATACATAACTTAGCAATGCACTGGTTTACTACCTCAGATTTGGTAGGGAGGTTGTCCTTGAGCTCTAAATGGCCACTGTTGATTCTGACAAAGTGGTATGCGGGGGTATTCACGCCATGATAGTGGCAGTTCTAGTTGATATGGCCACACTCTCGACAGGAGTTGAGCTCCTTCATCATGGCCTTAAACAGTCAACACAACACAATAAAATTTACCTCTTACATCAGCGATAAAGAGATCCACTTCCTGGACGTAACTGACAGAAAAAATACCTACGGGAACTTATCTACTACACTAAACCTACTAATGCTCACATGTACCTCCACTATAACTATAAACATTTATTATTATTATTTTCAAAATTATTCATATAATTTAAATAACTATATACGGACAAATGAACCGCCTAACAATAACTTCTATAAATAGATTTGATCACGTGACAAAAAGAACCGTCAAAACTGTACCTTAGTTTGAAAAATTGGGCTGATATATCTGTACCCTGATGAAGGCTATTGAATAGCCGAAACGTAGGTCTGAAAATAAAATTATAGAAACCTGACCCACTTTGTTTCGTGTGTTTCACTTTCCTTATCCTTTTTATTAGTTTACTGTTGTGAAACAAGCATCCCGTTTGGGATCCGATCTCTGTGGGAATCGATAACGGGTTCTACGTAATCGGTGTGAGAGGTTGGTCCAGCTTACAACTTACCTCTAAGTATCCAGTCCTTGGATCCACCGGCCAAAGCACCATAATCGCCCTTGATAGGGACCCGTGCTTCGAAACCTACACATTACGTTATGTCGGATGAAAATCTCTACGAAAAAGCTACTACTACAACCGCCTATATCCATAGCAACATTTCCGGGACAGTCTAACAACTCCACCAAAAAACGGAAAGCGGACGACAACGACTTCAACTCCTGGCCGTATAGAACAAGAAAACCTCTCGAAATTCAAAGTTTAAAAAAATTGAATATACAACTTACACAGACCCATCATCACCTAGATTACTTCGAAAGGTGTGTTCTCACCAAATCAAATGCAATATTATTCATGCACGAATTTGAACAAAAATTCCTAAAAAGTACACAATTACACCATCGGTCTGGTGGCGCTAACATAGACGAAATCTTTTTTGATATGGCCACCTCTCGACAGGAGTTGAGCTCCTTCATCATGGCCTTAAACAGTCAACACACACAATAAAATTTACCTCTTACATCAGCGATAAAGAGATCCACTTCCTGGACGTAACTGACAGAAAAAATACCTACGGGAACTTATCTACTACACTAAACCTACTAATGCTCACATGTACCTCCACTATAACTATAAACATTTATTATTATTATTTTCTAATTATTCATATAATTTAAATAACTATATACGGACAAATGAACCGCCTAACAATAACTTCTATAAATAGATTTGATCACGTGACAAAAAGAACCGTCAAAACTGTACCTTAGTTGAAAAATTCTGATATATCTGTACCCTGATGAAGGCTATTGAATAGCCGAAACGTAGGTCTAAAATAAAATTATAGAAACCTGACCCACTTTGTTTCGTGTGTTTCACTTTCCTTATCCTTTTTATTCGTATATACAATATACAATATTTATAGAAATTTCCAATGGTCAGATGGATTAATGATTATCTACTACATAAAATATGTACACAGTTAAGGCAAAGTTATTTTAAGATTTACCTGTTCACTGATTATTTATGCTTGGATGGGCATGATGTCACTTTTAATAGAGAGAGTTTATGATGATGATAGAAGGGATTGTGAATGTTACCAACAAACTGTTCATATGAGTGCATGTATTTATCTCTTAGCCTGAATTTGGTAATACTAATAGGTTCTACCCATGCAAACAGTGCAGACCAAGATCAGCTAACATATCTGTGATGTCTGATCATGGTCTGCACTGTTCACTATTCAGTACTTGTCTTGAAATTTTCCGCTGAAAATAATTCATGGTTTTGTCCAGATTAAAAGTAAGGCAAGTCCATTTAAGATATACGAGGGATGTTCGAAATGTATTGCTTATTTCTATCTGGAGACTTCAAATTTCAAGTTAGCTCAAACGTGTTCATTTCATGCCCTCGAAGTACCTTCGTGGCTAGAAATGTAAAGTTTCAGCCGATGTATCCACTTCTTGAAGGCGTCACGGAACGCTGATTTGGGCACAGTAATAAGGTACTAATGAATGGCAGATCCTAGTGCCTTTCAGGACTTGTATTTCCGCCCTGCAAGGAAGGAT